AGCCAGTCTCCATAAGCCAAGATGAAATTGCTTTCCTGGGTTCAGATGACACAGCAATTGATTGTGGATCAAACAACACCTAGAACGAATCATGGGTTGTCACCGTGGTTTGTTGTTAAAAGTAAGCTTGTGTTTAGTACCCATGATGGATTATGTCATGCAAATCCAGTCAATAAGTCACTAGGTGGCACTAGTCACCAAGTTCCTTATCTACAACATAAAGCTGAATATCATTGAAATGAATGTTAAGGAAAACTACAACTTTAGACTTTACTGTAATCATTACAGTGGAAAATGTTATATAGATCTAGAGCTTTATAGATGAGACTAAGAAAGGATTGAGAAGTCTGTTTGACAAGTGATCCATAAACTTTAGCTTGGCTTACTAGGTGAAACCATTATTTAGGACTGACTCCAGCCCCACCCTTTCTGGAATCTTGTGACATTTTCAGAAAACTTAGAGAAGAGTATTTGACCCTCATGTTGGACTTAGCAAAAGTTGCGAGCAGCAGCTCACAGGCTGCCTGCTTCAGAAGTCCAGTGGGAATTTTAAAAAGTTGATCTTTTCTTCCTCTGCATCAGAGATGGACCACTAGGAAGCAAAAAGATCTGAAGGACCACAACTTCCATCAGCCCTTGTCTGCGTAGCTAGTGGTAAGAGATGATGGGATTTGTAGGCCAAAACATCTGAAAACCAACAGGTTTTCCCTCTCTACATTACATAAAATGATGAGGAGGTGGTGAGAAGGGGACACAAGTAGTTTCCTTTGTTATCAGTTCTACGTCTCTGTGGTTGTTGGAAGCTGAGGCTCCTCCTTCAAGCATTCAAAAGCTACAGACCACTTCCCTTGCAGTGTGTTTTTTATTGACCCAAAAGCATAAATCACCCATAATGAATCTCGGAGCACAAAGTGGTTTGCTGAGCCCAATCTAGTATTTGCCTTTAAGAAGGGCCCTTCTGCAAGTGAGCACACCTCCTCTCCATGTGCTGATCCTTTAATTGGGCTGCCCTCTTGACCCCATGACATGAGCTGGCCTTCATCCAATAAACTCCCATGTTCAAGGTCCCCTCCTGCTTACTGTATATCTGGAATATTCCCATCAGCTGCCTCCTCCCCTGAGGGGTCTGGCCTTGGGATAAGCACCTCTGCTTCTTTCATCTCCTGTCTTGGCATGGCCCATGGTGTCTAGTCTCCTCCCTTTCTGTTCCACATTCTGATTCAGATTCTTCTGGTCCAGCCAGCATTCCTGGAGAACAAATGTCCAAAGCCACCATCCTTCTCACTCCCAACAGGTGTTGCCTCCTACATAAAGCAGTTAGGAAGGGAGCCAAAGAATGCCTCCTCCTGCTCTCTCCTTCTCTCCCGTTGGAGAAAAGAACAATTTCTTGTTTTTGCTGTTGGGATTTTGCAAGAGGCACTGTTGGTGTTTCCTGGAAAAGCCCAACTTGCAGAACAGACACCTCCTTTCTTTTCTTTCTTGTTCTTGGAGGAAGTGAAAGGTGGTTATTGGCCTTTTGCAGAAAGTTCCAGCAGCAACTTGCCACTGCTTCCTTGAAAAACTGAATAGGAAAGGAAGGAGACTATCTCTTTTCTTCAAGCTGAAGAAATGGAGATGTGGTATTTTACAGAAAACCACAATAAGTCACTGTGGTCATCTTGCAAAAGCCAATTTGTAGGGAAGAGAGCAGCACCTTTTCCTTCCTAGAGTGGTCAACTGTTGTCTGGGACCGGCTGTTTCAGATGTATTACTTGAGTTCAACTACAGTGGTTGTCGTTCAGTTTCTGGATCTGTTGGTGTTGACTTTCAAATCCCTAAATTGGTTGGGCCCTGTCTTCATGAAATTTCACCTTCAGTGCTCCTGCCTGATTGTTAAAATCATCTTCAGAGGCTCTTTCTGTGAGTGTTGCCACTCAGAATAGAGCTTTCTTTATAGTGGTCACCTGTCTGTAGAATGGCCTTCCCAGGATGATTCACCTGGTGTCTTCACAGTGTTGGTTTTCTGTTTCATGTTTTCCCAGCCTTTTAAAATATTTTAGTCATTTAGTCAGCCTGTTGTTTAAGTGTTAGTATTTCACTCCCTGCAGTATGCTTTTAACTCTTATAACTGATGGTCATGTTAGGTTTTGTATTAATATTTTATGCTGTTTTGGCATTTTAGCTTTATATTATTGCTTCCAAAGGGGATTTCATTGGCTTATTGTGTTATGTTTTTAGTTGTACAACACCTGATTTATTAGATGTTTAATAAATATAATAAATCATAACTGTTTGATATGTCAGTTCATTTGTCTGATTGTAACTTTAATTGCACCATTTTCCTCCATATAGTTTTAATAGACTTAAGGAAAAAAACAAGTATTTAGGCCAAGATTTTTTCAGAGTATGTATTAGTGTATCAGTCTGCGATCCCTCTTAATTTGAGAGAAGTGGATAACCTATTGTCTTGGGATCTCTTTTGGTCTCTCTCTCTCCCCCCCACCCCCCGAAAAAGTCATCCCAACACAGAATGGCTTTGGAAATATTGATGGAGAGCTGCTAGTGAAATGTGTGAGAGAAACTCCTGCAGGTTTTGCCCACTATGTTCGCTATTAGTTGGCTGATATTTGCTTATACAAAAAATGTATGCATGTTAGTAGGTGACTGCTAAGTGTTTTAGTTTCTGTTATATTGCAAAATAAACTTGCATTGGTTCCCTTAAATCCTCTGCACACCATGATATAAGTGTTGATGCTTTTAATCTCTTGCCAATGTATGCATTTTGATACTGTTTAATGGCATGTGCGTAGAAATCACCATGCAGCAGTGCTGGAAGATTTGTCATCTATTTTCTTGCCTCCTATCTGACTTAGCAGAGTTACTCTTAAGCCTCATAGTCCAAGATAAATATAAAATGTCTACAGCTTCCTTGAGATTTGGGATTGACAAACTGTCACCAGAACTTTAACAGTAAAAACTACTGAGTTTGGGATGGATGCAAGTTGTATTCCTGTGATTGTAAGAGACACTGTGTTCCTTGGCATTCTTGCAATCCTTCAGCATCTCCTCTGGTTTTGCCAAATAGAGATATCATCATCATCATCATCATCATCATCTAAGAACTTGATTGAGTTCAACTGTATTGAACTGTACACCTGAGCTGGGATGCTAACTTACTTAATGCATCTGTTTCTCCTATGAGAATTAAAGTTGCAGTGGTGTAAAACAGTTGAAATTACTAATCACAGCTAGATGTAAGTTCATTCTTTGCAAAAGAGAAAAGAGCAGGCAGGTGGAAAGACAGCTTCTTCCCAGTGTAGCCAGGGCCTGATCTATATATGCAGCAGAATGTCATGGTGGTATTCTGAGGAAGTAGAAGGGATGGTATCATTTAATAATGTAGGTGCAGCATAACATTTTAAACATTCCCCTGCATTTTTTTAAACAGAAGACTCTAAAACCACATCAGCAGGTTGGTCTTACCCCATATTAAGTTAATTATTTATTTGCAGGTGTTTTTTACATAGGAAACCAATCAAAGGAAGCTACCTCTGCCCATGTTTTCTGAAATGGTTATCTCATTCTGCCACATTCATATATTATGATAACAAATGAAGCTATTACCCCTCATTTTTCAGTCCACATACCTAGAGTAAAACTTTGCTCTTCAAAGCATGTTCTTACATTCTGTAGTCCAGAGAGCCATCCCAAAACTGGTGTACCCCAGACATGTTGCACTGCATACCTTATACTCCCATCTAGCATGGCCATGTTGACTGGGGACAGGGGAAGATGAAAGCCCAACTTTTTTGGAGCAGACTGGGTTAGGGAAGGCTGAACCAGTGAGAAACCTGAACACTCTCAAAATTAATTCCTGAGCATTTGCCAATATTCTATGCTTCAGTATGATGCAACATTTGGACATGATAGTTGCTTAAATATGAAAGTGCTTGTGACTGTTTTAATAACATGTGAAAATACATTAATATATGATAATGTTTTTTGGTGTTATATTTTACAAGAGAAGTTTGATTTTTCATTATAACTACTAAATGAGAATAAAAACCTTTGTTATAATCAGGGCTTTTTTTGTCATAGAACGCACCGGAACAGCGTTCCAGCACCTTTTTTTCAATGGATTTTACAAAGTGATTTTGAACATTAACATAGTGCCTGCAGGCTGCTATTTGTCTGCTATCTGCTATCTGATAGTGAGAGAGAACTGCTTGGGACGCTACTCCCTGCTCGGCTTGGGATTGGTGTGTGTGCTTACTGCCGGCGCATGAGTTCCGGCACTTTTTTTTTTTTTTTACAAAAAAAGCACTGGTTATACTTATATCATTCCCTTGGTTAGTATAAAATTATTGGGAAGAAAAGAGACTTTTTCTGTTTTCAGTTTTATATGCCATAAGTTAAGGACAAAATAGAAGATAATGGGAGAGCTTGAAATAGGAAGGATGGACTATTGGGGGGTGGGGTAAATAAGAGGCAAATAGGCAAAAATGTGGACGTCATTTTGCTTAATTTAAAGTTGATTGACATCTGCCATACTTTTATGTTGAGCCATCTTAAATCGATTCCTACGAGCCCTGTATTGTTAGAACTGCAATACATAATGACTAAAATAAAACTGGCAATGTTTTAAGACTATAATTGGCAAGTCAGAAAAAATATATATGTGGTTTGTAATGGCTTTTATACTGTCTAATTTCTGCACTAAATCCTTGCAGTAAAGGATTTCAACACTAGTGGGAAGTGTAAGGTTCCTGACTCATTTCAGTAGGACAGCAGAGCACATTGGTATTTCTGAATAATTATTAAATAGATGCAATAGTTAATAGCCACCTTGCATAGTGTAATCATAATGGATTGGAGAGTGCATCATGAAAATTTCCATTCTTCTGACATGGCTCATTATTGATTGCTGAAAATTGCAATGTTGTTTCCCAGGATACTAATTATCCATGCCTGCTTACAAACTGTTAACTGATGCCTTTCTTTCTTTCTTTCTTTTTTTAAAGATTGGTACACAGAACAGTCTGGAGCTCCTGGAAGACTCAAAAGCAGAGATTGTGGATGAGATTGCTGCTAAGCTTGGCCTGAGGAAGGTATCAAAACATGATTGGACCAGCATATCTGGCAAAATCCTCTGTGTTGAGATGGAAGGTGTCTTATTGGGTGCTTGCTAAATCACAGGTGGCCAGTGTTTGGGATCTAGCTGATTAGAGTGTAATGACAGTAGCTTTGGGGCATTCAGGATGGGTTGGAGATTTGTGGCCTGTGCAGCCCTTCTAGTAATTTTGACTAATCATGAACCAAAATGGAAATGGTTTATAGGAAGCAACTTTCTTGCAAGTCAGTGGATGCCATACACTCTTTCAGTTCTTCTGCCCCATTTTTGTTCAGTTCTTTGCATGTGTGAGCTTTTCAAGGCACATTTCACAAAATAGAGTTTGACTTAAATATTCAGACCTATCAAACCAACAGCATTGTGCTCTGGTGTAGTTAAGACATAAAAATTTGTCCAATGGCACAAAGAAAATATAAATTGTTCACATTCACAAATCTTTTTGAATTCCTCATTCTGCTGCTTATCAGGTTTGCTTATCAGGAGTGACTAATTTCTGATGGTCATATGCTACCTCCAGAATCAGAGGCAATATACTTGCGTACATCAGTTACACTCATGTCCTGCCCTTGATTTCCTGTGGGGAACTGGTTGACCACTGTATGAACAGAATGCTGGAGTGGACGGACCCTTGGTCTAATTCAGCACAGGTCATCCTGTCAGCTATTTGTTATGAGAGCACACGAAATAGTAAACATTACTGAAAAACTGCCTCTGCTATGCTTTTCTGTCTGAGAAAACTTGGATAGAACAGATTTGAATCCTCATGTTTCCTTATTGGAAACTGTCATTAATTTAATATATGCTTTAATGCTGGAACCGTCTTCATGCAGATGCCTTTCAGATCCTCACGTGTTTTTATCTACATGAAGGCATTGCTTGTGTTGCCAAAACAAAGGAAAAAAAATAGATTTTTTTTCCTCTAAAGGTTGAATACATTGACAATCTCAGGGCAATGAGTCACATAGTGCAGAACATTATATTAGTCTGCCCTCACTTGGCACTTCCAGATGTGCTGGATGTCAACTTCTGTTATCCCTAATCAGATGGCAGTTCGTGTTGGGGGGGATGATGGGACTTGTCCAATCTGGAGGGTGCCAGGTGGGGATAGTCTGGTTTATGTAGACATATGTGCCTAAGGCACAGAACATTTGGTTTTGTTAAAATATAGTCTATCTTTAATTCTAGCTAAGGCTGTTTTGCTATACAAATGGCCACTAGTCACTTCATAACTGCAGTGCACACTTGCATTATCTTGTTGCAAGCATAACAGCATTTTCTGTACCAGCACTGGATGCTTGCAGGTTGAGCTAAATATAGGAGAGTATTTGAATATGCATCTACTTTTCGGAAATGTTTGGGGAGAATTATTTTAGCATGATCAAATGGCATTCTGCAAGGATGAGATTTGATTAGGAAAATGTTCACTTATAGATTAACTAGCATTGTAATGTAAGATCTTGAGAGCAGTTTTGTGGACTGCTCTAGACAGTGTGAACAGACTTGTCTTTTTATAGGCAGTGGGAGATGGGGGAACTCTGCAGTCCATAAAGCTGCAGGTTTCACCAGCTGGCTCTGCAAATGTGCAAATTGTATTCAAATGAGTTCAGCAGAGCTAGGGGAATAATTTCCTTCGGGCTGGTATTGAGCAGGCTTTCTCAAAGAAATTCATGTAGCCAAGAACATTTTGTACCACTGGGGAAAGGGCAACATTTAAAAAATGAGGCAGAAAAGTGAAAACAAGCATTGTGTTTCAAGGTTGGCTGGATATTCACGGATCTGGTGTCAGAGGATACCCGGAAGGGGACTGTCCGGTACAGCCGGAACAAGGTAGGAAGTAAGCTTTTTTAGTGCTTGCCATCATGAATTTCCTATTTTATTTTATTTTTGTTTCATATATGCAGTCTTTGCCAGACAAACTGCTTCTGGGAAATTAAGCCTTGTGATTAAATAGGATTGGGCATGTGCGCCCCCCTTAAACTTTCCCTGCAGCCACCAAAGGGATGCATTTGGGGTGCTGTGGAATTACTGATACTCTCAACCAGAATGGCTTTTGGTTGTTGCCAGTACAGCCATAAGCTTCTGCATAAGCAAGTGGTAGCTCCAACAACCTCCTCTCTCTTTCTCCACCCTTTCTCTGTACAAAAAATGGTACCACCGATTCTGCCACTATTCTATGTTGCTCTCCTCTCCTTCATTCGCGCCCCATGTTACATGTGGCTGCAGTGTCTACCACCATTGGTTTTGGGTTGCTGGGCTTGGCTCCTCAGTTACTCAAAGCTGCTTTTCCTTTCTCCTTTATTATCCCTACCCCCCAGAGGATTGCTGCTTTTCCACAGTTGTTGTTTTTTTTAAAGTACATTTTACAAACTAACGAAAAGTGAAAAATGGTGGCATTTTTTTCTCACAGAAAACCTGTGAGAGACACTATACCATAGAGCTGTTTTTGTTTGTTTGTTTGTTTGTTTGTTTATTTGGAATTTTTTGTAGGCCGTCCCATTCGCATAAGCCTCGGCACAGCTTCCAACATCATAAATAAATACATATATAAATATATACATATAAAATCTGGAAACATCCTGGCTCAGTATTTAAAACCAATAAATAAAAGCAATAAAAGCAAATAACGATGGTGCCAGGCGGACCTCTCTGGGGAGCACATTCCATAAGTGGGGCGCTACCGCAGAGAAAGCCCTCCTCCAGGTACTCACCCTCCTAATATCTTTCACGGAGGGTTCCTGGAGAAGGGCCTCTGCCGCTGATCTCAAGGGGCAGGAGGGCAAATATGGACGCAGGCATTCCTTTAGATATCCAGGTCCCAAGCCGTTAAGGGCTTTATAGGTGATAACCAGCACCTTGAATTGGGCCCAGACTTCAATGGGGAAGCCAGTGAAGCTGGTAGAGGACTGGGATTATGTGAGAATAACGCCCAGTCCCCGTCAGCAACCTGGCAGCTCTATTTTGCACCATCTGAAGTATCTGGACCGTCTTCAAGGGCAGCCCCACATAGAGCACGTTACAGAAGTCCAATCGGGAAGTAACCAATGCATGTGTCACTGTCGCCAGGCAATCTTATAGGAATATTGGAGGATTTCTTGGAGTCTCCAAAGTGACTAGATTACCAAGGATGTGGACAAAGTATTGGGAATGATGAAACAAAGTGGAATTGAAGAGAAACAAAAGGGAAATAGTACAACAGTAAAAGTAAATAAATCATTGGAAGGGTTCCTCCTGTACCCACCCACCCCCCCGCCAGCTTCTATCCTCTTGCCCTAGCCCTGCCACCTTTGGACATGTACAACCCACAGCTAGTTGTCCAACATTAACAGTACCCCCTATCCAAATGAAGTTGCTCACCCCTGCTGTTGTGAATGTGTCTTTATCATAATTCATGAGACCATGGTAAATTTAGAGAAGCCATGAATTGTTTGTGATAGAGTTTTGTATACGGTTGGCATGTGGAGTGGTTATCAAATCCTTTTAGATGCCTATATACCTGGCAAAAGTGTACTACAAAGTTATGACACTTTATTATCCTTTTTCTTAAGGAGGTTTTCTCTAATTTAGTTTTTCTTAAAAAAAGAAGAAGAAGAAGAACCTTGTGGGTTTGTGAACAGCTTGACAGCCCTTTGTAACTTGTTCTGGTGTCCGGTTAAAACTATGGAAGTGCTTCTGTATACCTTCCTTAATTTTTCAGTGTGGGTGTGGCCACACAAAAGAAGGCCTTTATGCTTGTTTCTCTCTAGCATGTATCTGGAAGCAGTGTTCCTCTCTGCTTTCTGCAGGCTAATGTCCGTTAGCTTGTTATCTATCATTCTGCATTCTATATTTTGAACCCTCTATCCTGTTCACTCTCCTACACTTTTGCAATTTTATATTGAAGTCTTCCAACTAGATGCTATTCTATGTCCACAACTGAAAAACATAGATGAGTTGTTTCTTTCATCCACTTCAACCACGATTAAATTAGAGATTCAGCCAAAGTCTAAAACCGCCACCATTCTACCAAGGAAGTACGTCCCATTGCATTCTTCTTTTTATAGATGAAGCGCACACTGGTGAAATTAACCTTTTCTGGGAAAGTCATTGACTAGTTTCTCCCTTGGCTCTAGTTTTGCCACCTTACATCTAACAGATGTGAGCAGGCAGGCAGTATGAAGATCTGAGACCATATGTGGCATTTGGAATACTTCCCCCACTCCTGCTTATGGACTCTCGGTAGATTCCAGACAATCTAAACTTCCATGAAGGTTTAAAACAGTAAATGTTGTCATGCTTTTAGAAAGAGGTCATAAGCCTTAGACCTAAAAGTTCAACCAACAGAAGACAAATACATAGACCTGATTTATTTGTCATTTTAAGCATCTCATTTCTGAGCCTGATTTCCCCATTATGCTAGTGATTGCTTGCTGAAACTAAAACTTCACATTAAAGCACAGAAGTTGGTTACATAGTCTTGTAAGTGACTGTTCAAACCCCCTTAATCTGATGCTTCCACTGCTCTGTCAGGAAATTATAAAGATGTGCAGATAACATCATTGGACTGCAATGTAAACTAGTGGCTTGTGAAAATGTGCTGTCAGTGTCATTGTTCTGTCATGATTTTTCAATTTGGTTGCCTGTGTTGGACCTTGAATTTACCAATCCATGCTTCATTTTAGAAAGTACTACAGGTTCCTGAGGTGAGACTCATTACAAGGGATCTTTCTCTTACCAGTCTCATCTTATCACCCTCTTTAGGATGCGTATTTCCTAAGTGCAGAAGAGTGCATTACAGCTGGGCATTTTCAGAATCAGCAGCCAAACATATGCCGCCTGTCTCCAGATGGTCACTTTGGATCCAAATTTGTCACTGTTGTGGCTACAGGTAAACATAAAATAAAATTGCAGGCATTTTTCAGTTGCCCAAAGAATTTTTCTAAGAATAAAAAAGAATTTTCAGATACTGAGACCAGTCATATCATCAGGACATATTGAAGCCATTACTTGGCTTGCATACAACTGACAACAAATGGTTAACAAACTGTGGCTTGTATAGGAATGTATGAACATTCTGGCTCCTCACAATTTTCTCACTTCCAGTTATTAAACCACCCAGGGTTGTTTAGCAAGATAGAAGTGGGTAAGAGCATGCTTACAAGCCTCCAAACAAACCAGGGATAACAAACCATGGAGTGTCTAATAGTCTGAACTGGGTCAGTGATTTATTTCAAATGTCCCAGCTGCTTCCTGTGCCTTTCTTGCATTCTCTCCTATTTCTGGTTTTTGTAACAATGTTCGGCAAATGGTGGTTAGCACTAACTGGGTATTGGAGCTGTTAGTATGTAATGGTGTCATTCAACAGCAAGGCATGGGCTGATTAATTGATGCATCATTTACAGGTATGTTCAGTTTTCAGCAGCAACGCACTCTTGTCCTTTAAGTAAGTTGTAATTAGTGTGATTTCTGAACCTGGACATCTAGGATTGTTCATAGGTTTAACAGCCCAAATTTGGTCTAAGAATGCACCATGGATTTACTTTGGGTTGTTTAAATCACAATCAACTCAAATAGACTGTTCTCATGTAGTCACAACTTACTCATTTAGAACAAACATACTTAACAAACTCCCAGCCCATGACTGGCTGTTCAATAGGTTGTGTTGCATGACATCTAAGCAGAGAATGCTGAGTTATTAGAGGCTAAACTACCCAGTGATTAATCCAACAATAAACCATGGGTTAATGGCTGTGTTGTTCAGACCTTAATAACCCAATAATCTGGGTTTGGATGTCACACTGCACAACCTAGAAAAAGCTAATTGTGGGTTAGGACTGCATGAGAGACAGTGCTCCCATGACAGCACAACAAGTGATCCATTTTTAAATGGATTGCCCTTACATCCAAGCTAGGTCACTGTGTCCAGGATCACACATGATGCTAACACCTTACATGAATGGGGCATTTGCGAGTTGTTGCAAGCCAGAAGAGGCTTGTGCAGTACACACTGGTGGAAATTTGGATTAATTAAGTTGGAATTGCTTTTGAATGCCTCTAATGTGCAAACCAGATCATTGTCTCAAACTATAATTAGAAACCATGGTTTGTATGGGTTTACAAATTGTGACTTGGAGATAATTTAGATGTAATGGCAAAATTCATTTATGGAAACCAGGAAAGGAAGAGGGAAGTCAGCATGTGGCTGCAGAGAAAGGGAATACACAAGCCCAGATTACATTCCTCTTACTCCTAATTATGGTTTGGAGTTACAGGAATGTGGCATCTCAGCTGAGCCTATGAAAGCTAAAGCAATGAGGTATGATTATATTTTAATAACTTTGGCTTTGAACTGCCTACAGAGGCTAGATGAGGAGAAACTGTCAAATGATAAACCAGCTGCTGGCTTGTTGCTGAAAATTTATGGTCAGAGGCCATGAAAGTGGATCATTGGTGCAAACTGTTCAACACTTTGACAAAGATGAAATTCTTTTGGGTCTTCACTTAAAGAAGGAAACCCCAAAAGAATACACAGCAGCAAAATCACTCCTAATGTAATATGATTACAATTTGTTCTTCACAAAATCCTTTTTGGATCTAGTGTACTTAATACTAGGATAAATTCTTTTGCAACCTTCAAGTTGAAAATAACACTGAGGCTTGGATCCTAAGTCGTTCCTCCATTCTCATAAGAGAAGAGAATAGTTTTGGCCGAATCTCGCTCTGGAGCTCCTCTACCCAGTATCCTGCATCGTTCCTAACCCTGCATGAATAGATTTTTGGGTATGCACAGAGCAGTAGAGGAAAGGGAGAAGCCCATTCTGTGAACAAATCTCTGTTCCATTCTCAGAAGGAAAAGATAACAAGCTTATAACTTTAACTTTTTAAATGCATTTCTGGTTAGTAGCTGAATCTTTCCTACATCTTATGCTTGCATCTTGGTTTCTATCAACACTGCATTTCATTCACCTTCTTAGTGTTTCCTTTTGGATATCATAGAAAGTGAACATGTTTATGGAATTGAAAATTGAATGTGACTTGCCACTCAAGTGGAAACTTGATATCTCCGTGGCTTGCTTATGGTCCTTCACTGAGCAGTTTTTGTTGCTGCTGCTGTTTTTTATTTCTATACCACTCATAGCTGAAGCTCTCTGGGCTGTTCATGACAACTGGGCAGTTATGGTAGTTGGCTTTTGTGCTCTCCTTGGGAATTCTCTAAGAAGTTTCTGAACCAGAATTTGAACCAATCAGTTTGCTGTGGTTGCTGACATAATGTCCAATCTTCATGGCATCTGAATTAGGGATATTCAGATGCCATGCACAAAATATTTTGTGCACGTTAGGAAGTTTAAAGAGAAATTGCAAGCAGAGGAAGGTAGGTGGGAGTAAAGAGAAATACTCTGATTTCCTTGCTTCCTTCATCTTTCTGCTGAAGCCCTGTCATACTCAACTTTGTCTTACCTGTTTCCCTCACCGTGTGAGTTGAAGGATGTCTATTGCTACATGGGACCTGGAAAGTACAGGGTTTTTTAGTGTGGAATGAAATGAAGGGTCACATCTCTCTCGTATTGCATGTTTTCCTTTTAGGGCCAATTTGCAACACCTTTTTCAGTTCATGAAGCGTAGATTACATAACGTACATGTTTAAACAATGCTGACTTGAGTTACTTAATGGCTGCCAATGACTGAGTGAAAAATATTACTCAGCTTGTAGATTTGACAGTTGCTGCGCAATGTTTGCAATATTTTCTTACTTATTTAATAGATGTAAACACTTTCCCATAATTAAAATATAACTAAGCATTTAGAAGAAATTTAAATAGTTTATCTAACATGTTAAAACATTAAAAGACTATAACACCATAATAGAAACAACCTGGACAGCATGCTTGGGAAGGCCTGGATCAAGAAATGAGCCTTCAACCAGGATTTAATGCATGTTACCATCAGTGCCTCCCAAGTACTGTGGGGAGACCATGCCATAAAGTGGATGCCACCATGGAGAAGGCCTGCTTCTGGTTGCTGTGTTATAGGGTCTACAGATTGTGAAATAACTAGCAAGAATATGTTTTATTATCTTAATGGTCTGTTTTTGGGAAAGCATTTTATCAGATAAGCTGGTCCTGAGCTGTCTGGGGCTTTATATGTCAAAAATATGAGACAGCACATATCTATGTGCTCATGGGTTAGCTATACGTTGCAAATATATACTGTGAAGTCTGAGGGTTCTGAGTAATAGAAGCTGTCTTCACAGAAGGAAGATGAAATCACTCCCTCTGAAAGACTTTGTACTTGGTTCATTAGCAAATAGGTAGCCAGCACAGTTGCTTCAGCACTGGTGTAACATGTGCACAGCCAGGTGCTCCATTCGGCATCCTGGCTGCCACATTCTGCACCTGCTACAGCTTTTAGATGAGGCATGAGGGTAGCCCCTGCAGTGGGCAGGTGTGTTCCCTGTCCAAGAAAAGGAGTTGCTGACTTACCAGTCTGAATTTGTAGTAGGCACTCCTTGCAACAAATGCCATTTGGACCTCTGATGACAAGGATGCATCCAAGAGCAACTCCAAACTTTGTGCCTGATCTTTCTGAGGAGTGCAACCCCATCCAGAATGGTCATTTTCAGAAAAAGTTATGTAACCCATAGAATTTTGCTTTGCAAAAAAAAAGTTGGCCCCTAAAAACTAATGTATAAAATTAACATATAGCCGTTTGTCCATAGTATGTGAAATTAAAAGTGATTTTGTCATCTACCTCTGGGGAGAGCTTCAGTTACAGAAAATCCCCAGAGTTTGCAGTAGATATTTGCAAGATGTGGCCACCACATGAATATGTGCTGGGGACGTAAAATTTGAAGTTCAAGCTGTCACTCTGTACTGAGGTCAGTCTTTTGTGTCCAAGCAACATCTTATATGCTTTAGGATTTTTATTAAAGTAATGAATAAAGCATGGATTTGTAACATTTTATATGAAATACTGAGATAGTTCAGTTTGTATTTCTGCCTTATCCTGAGCAGCAAGCATTGACTTTCCTGAGGGCTTTACAGCATGTTTCTATAAATCATGCTCCTGTCTGATTGGCGTTGCCCTACAACTTAAATTCATTAAAATGTAGATTGCGAGTTACAGATTGTTCAGCTGACAGAGATAGGAGACAGTAGTTAGGCTGACTGAGTTTGCATGTATTTGCTTGCCCTTTAATTTCTGTGAGCATTTGCTGAACTGAGAATGGAAGCTGGAGGCTAGAAAATTGCCTTTTGGAACACTTCATTCCAGTCAACATTTCCTGTGTTAAATCACGCTCTTGTGTGAGTCTTTAAATACTTGCATTCCATTATGCGTATAAATTAGATGTATCTCTATTATTTACAATATTAAAATATCATAACTTCCTCTTATATCTCCAGTCTTTGAAAATGGCATCCTTTTCCTATTTGCAGGTGCTCAGTTTTCTTTGACATCTTATCTATAACATGTAACTGACTGATGCTTAAGCTAGTCAAATTAACAGCACTGCTTGTTTCACTTGTACAGAGTCATCTGCAGAGAGTCACTAATTTAATTTATGTCATGTTTGTCCCTGAAGTTGATGCTGCAAATTTGAATAGTAGAAATAGACCCCCTCCTACTTGGTACAATGAGGTAAATATAAGAAGGGTGGAAATGAGAGGAGAAAGCCTGCTCAGTGGAAACTTCCCTGAATAAGTAATGCTGTCCCCAGTGAGGCCCACCTGGCACCATCCCTGGCATCTTGTCAGTACTGGGTGTGCTACCATTTATTCCCAGGCATTTGATGAAATGCTTAATGTATCTGTCAAATTGTTTATGGCTGTTATTGATATTTGTTCTGAGAGGTAGTTGTCCCCGAGGGTATGGAACGGGCTTCCACGGGAGGTCATTGAGGCCCCATCAGTGAGGGTGTTCAAAGATAGGCTGGACATGCACATGGTGGGCATGTCGTGAGCGGAGCCGGCTGGAGCCGGGGGTCAGACTAGATGGCCCGGGAGTCCCCTTCTGACTCGCTCTGTTTCTGTGTTGTATTTTAATAATTATTACAACTGTTTTACATTTTGTATGTTTTAATTCTGTAGTAAGTTACCTTGAGTCTTGTTTTTAGAGACTCATCTTAGAAATTTAATAAATAATGCTAATGGTCAGTCCTGTTACCTTTTCTCAGAGTTAATCCAGGATACCTGCTCACTTGTGCTTTCTGTCAATCATTGTTTGCTTTGGAGGCCAATATTATGTTTGTTTGTTTGATGGATTGTGTGTGTATATATACAAAACAGCTTCCAACCATTCCTTGAAGTAACTTGGCATTTGTTCCTTTGCTTAGCTACATTAAGGAAACTATTAAACAGTGTTGTGCTGTTCAAAAATGTTTGTAAATTTCAATCTGATTTGGGTGAGGGCATGCTGAAGAGGTAGCAGAGGAAGCATTGGAACTGATTACAGTGTATATAGGGTTCAGTCCTGTATTCAAAGAAAGCTGTATACCACAATATAAAAGTCACAAGGAATAGTGTGACAGCTGCTATTTAGTACTGTGGCAGTGGCAGAAGCCCAATAAAATTTCTATAAAAAATTGTAAGGAAGAAAGTATATGTGGCCTGCATGTTATATCCAGGGATTTGTTTGATTTTTTTTCTTAATCTCCTTTATCAGGGTTGATCCTTTGGGAAGTACTGTATTCAGCTTTGATATATTTAAGCCAAAGCAAATTCTGAAGAAGACTGTATTTGAGATAGAAGCAGAGATTCCTATTAAAATAATCTGTGTGAAATAAATATAACTGAATAACTGTAAATATATCTGTGAAATGATCTATTAAATAATCTTATAACAATTTTAGGTTTGTGTCCACATATCTTGTCCCTGCTTAAAGGTATCTTCTTATTTTCTAGGGGGTCCTGATAACCAAGTCCACTTTGAGGGCTACCAGGTATCCAACCAGTGCATGGCTCTAGTACGTGATGAGTGCTTGTTACCATGCCGTGATGCTCCGGAACTTGGCTATGCAAAAGAATCCAGCAGTGAACAATATGTGCCTGATGTGTTCTATAAGGCAAGTATTGATAACTTTCATTTGCATTGGCAAATGTCCCTCCCCATCTCAGAGAATAGCAGTAAAAAAGGGTGTGGTTTACTCTGTGTTTATCCATGTGGGAATTTAAAAAAATAAAATAAAAAGCTATGAGCTAACACTTACCACATATTTAAGGGCCAGAGTTTCCCTTTCTCCCAGCAAAGATGAAGTAGCTTCATCTAGAAGGGCCTGAGTAATTGTTGAAAACATAGACAAAAGATTTCTTTAGCCCAAGCTAGCTATCAAAACAAAAGCTGTATTTTCAGTTTTACTCTCCCCCTCTGGATTAAGGTTGTACAACCTCTTGCTCTTTATCTCACCTCATTTTTCTGCCCTGGCTTTGGAGAGAATCTACCTGGCCTACCACACACGTGTCTTAGATGTCACCACTGAGCAGACTCCTGCCTCCACTGACACATTTGGCTTGTATCACTCATCGTGACACATTTCAGTGTTGGGCTGCCTAGTTCTGGAGAGTTTGTGAGCCAGGAATCCTAACAATGAATTTAGCGCTGCCAAAGCACTGCTGTTGTTTTCGCTGCTGTCCCTGTCACAACTCTGATGAAACCTGTCAATTTGGAAACAGAGAAGGTTGTCAGGGTGGTGTCACAGTTAACTCGGTAACTGAAGACAAATTGAAGCATGTATACTTGCATGCACAGCCTGCAAATATTATTTTGGCAATATATATGGAAATGCACATCTGCAGTACTTTCCTGTATAAGCTCAATTTTCCCTATCCTAGAAGTGCTCCTATCATTCCCCAGACCTTGCCTAGCTTCAGTATGAAGTATGTGGTGCACTACTTTGTGCTTCCTAGCAAGCCCTATGAATTAATGATACCACTTGTGTTTGGTAGTGGCTGTCACTCCTCAGTTGACTTTTAATCCCTACCTAATGTTTTCTTTTTCCTTTGCCCAATTACATTCAGGTGAGATGTTCAGTGAAGCAAAATGATACAGCAAGAAAAGCTGCAGGTTTCTGACAGCCATTGAGAATAGTTTTTGTTGCCTTGAATATGTTTATAAGATGCCTGTAGAGCAAAATCAGTTGCTGTAGAATGCATATTAACTACATGGGAAACAAGGATTTTGAGAGCCCCAATTCAGAGGGTGAGAAGCATTGTTCATGGAGGGCAGGGGACCAAGTGAAGGTCTATGAGTAGAAAACTATGCAAGAAAAGGATTAGAAGATTAAATTCCAGAAAGGATACAGACAATTGCTTTGTTTTTTTACTACAATTAATCAGCATTTTTCTTGCTGTGTTATGAAAATTTCCAGTATGTTAGGCTCACATGTTGTGGTTCAAAGAACAGAAAATTGCAGATATTTTCTCAGTACTTTCCATGTGTTTGTGTGTGCATATGCTTTCCAAAGTAGAAAAGGTAAAGCAGACTTTTCAGCGATAATGTATTATTTAGAATAATGCTTCTGTGTTCTCTCAATAAAAACCCACCCCAATATATTAATATTTGAATAGCTGTAATTAGTATGCACTGCTGACATTAATAATATGTTCTTGATGGTGCAGCAGAAGTCATGTTATTCTAGAATTGGAGATTACAGAAGTTTCAGCAGTCAAACTCATATTTAAATTTGAGACCACTGAGAAGAAGCCCAGTACTATCCACACCTTTGTTTCTCTGAACACTTTCTTGGTCTATTAAGAATTAACTAGAAACAAAACTGGTGACATTATTAGGTAAACCTTTACATGCTGCAGATATCAGCCCAATGCATGTAAAAGGACACACCTTTGACCTGGACAGGAGGGTGGTGATCTGCAAGTGTAGGGGTTGGCATTAACTCCTTTGACATGGTCAGATCATTTCCTTCTGAAGTTAGACTTCCAGCCCCTTTTTCCCTCTGCAAACATGGGGGACCCATGGACCCATTAGGATGGTCTTCCCCCAGAGACTAAGGGATCAGGGTGGTTTTCAGAGTGCTCTGGGGGGTTATCTGGCTTTTATGGCTGGCACTACTGTTGAAGCCCAAGTCACCCTCTGGAAAACAGCAGCTGGCACAATTGCACCTAAGCACCCTCTCCGCTCGGCCAGAGCCCGACCAGCACCCTGGTGTACAACTGGGCTGAGGCGATGAAGCAAGAGAGGAGGTAGCTAGATCTTGGATGGAAGAGAACGTGCAGTGAGTCTGCCCAAACACAGCTTAAAGCTCATTATTGAGCCTATTGTGTGGTGGTGAGGGTGGCAAAGCAATACTCGTTTACTACTAGCAGTGCGTCTTCTCTATGTCAGCTAGTTGAACTTTTCCAAGTGATTCATGATTTGGACAACTAAGCTAGGTTATAGAACACTCCATAGCATGATGTGACAAATTTGCTGGACACTTTGAAGATAAAGTCACAACAAATCTGAGCTACTTAGTTGAGGGGGTTTTTTTTAGTGTTTCTAACGTTTGCTTTTGTTGTATTGTTGTATAGTAGGTATATCCGTTTTTATTGTTGTATATTTGGTTTTGAAGTGTAAACCACCCAGAGAGCCCTGTAGATTATTGGAGTGGTATAAAAATGTAATAGCACATAAATATAAATATGTTTATAACCTGAGATTTGTAATTACCGTTTCAGACAAGTACTGTGAACTCATGAACTGTTTTGGCACCTATGATAATTCTGTGCATTTAAGGTTGCAGTTTTCTTTCCTCCCATGCTTTACATGGGCTTGTTAAATCCTTGGAGAACATAGTAAATTCTATATTGAAGTCCTGTTTGGGTCTTGAATAATGTAAAAGGCCTGACATTCGAAAATTCTTTATCACTAATTATGGGAGTGCAAACCTCTGAAAGCATTATCAAGACATTGGCTTGATACTGGAGCATTATTGGTAGATGTTGGTCTTCTGGGAATATAAAGCATGTTAAACAATGTAAAACCTCACTTGCCCAGTACCATCTTATTTTATTAGGCATGTGATAACTTGGGTGGTACTTTGGTTCCAATAACATGGGGGAGCATTATTGTCTATGGCATTGTGACTTTTGTGTTTAAATAGTCGGCGGATTCACAGGGGGCCACCAAAAGGGAGTAGCAACAATGTATAGAAAATAAATAAATAAAAGGAAAGTATCTAGAGGTTCTGTGAAAAATTGCTTTTGGTTTTGAAGCCCATCCAATACATTCTGAGCTTTTCACTCTTGTCATAAAAGACAAATTATCTTCCTTTGTCTGTGCTTGATTCCCTGCTTTCACATTGGAAATGCATAATACTGAATCATCCGTTCTTGGAGATGGAGGAACTTGGTCAGGGTTACAGATATAGATAAAGGAGACTGCTGTCATACTGTGCTTGTTCTTAACATGTATAGAAGTGAATGAGCTATTTAGACTAAATTATTTATTGGGGTAAGAGGTTTTCAAAGTTTGGTCTCTTGGCAGCCTTATACTATCAACTAGCACAACTACTTGTCTACAAAATAAGGAAAGATTTGCATTGGAGAAGCTTAGAGAGTAGTATACAGGGATAGCACTCACATAAAAGAGCTTTTAGAAATTTGTTGGATATACCCCAAGAAGTCAGTGTTTGTGTAATGTGAAATACATTTATCTCACCATGTTAGCAGAAGTTTAAAAATAGAAGAAGCTATTGAACCCCTGTGTTGTCTAGCTGGGTAGGAGAACAGATGCTCTTTAAACTCCTGCAGTCAGAGAAAAGGTGATGTATGTAAAATTAAAGAGACTTGATGTAGCAGTGCTTATATAAAGTTTGCTCACTGGTCAACACATGTAGTCCTGGTATGGCTGCACAAATAGAAGCCCATATCAGAATCAAAGCCACAAAGCTGAGAAAAATTGAGAGCATTACTTGCTTCAGGGCCTCACTGAGTGAAAAGGGAAAATAACAGCTCTCTTCCCTTTCTGTCCCTGTGAGTTTGTGTCAGTGTGTATTTGTGGGACTGGGCTGGAGGCTGTTGCACCCGTGACAGAATGTTTGAGCCATTGCTGGTTCCCATGGGAACACGCATGACTCATCCATGTTTTAAATATCACAAAAACAGGAAAACCAATAGCACCAGGTTTGCTCCAACTTTATGAATCCAGGCATATTTCTCAGGCCTCTGGCAAGGCAAACCTTTATGTCTTTACCACTTTCTTTATTTTGGCCTTTAAAAAACCAAGCAGACTGTTAATGGCATTTGAAGCCTGAAATCCATCTGATATAAAGAGCTGGAGCTTTAACCTAGTGTGAAAATTAGGAATTTTTAGAACCAGAATGAAAGTACTTTGTTTTAAATAGTTGTTTTCATTATAGTAAATCAACCCCATGAGTAAGTTTCTGGAACAGAAAGACCATTTCATTATCACAGTCAGATGGCCTTTATATAACAATCATGTTACCAGCAACCTTTAAAAATTCTCTTTTTGTTTGGGTAGGTACAGGCAGGGTAACTGTGACCATCTAAAACCAAGAATAGTTTATTAGGTTAATATTTTAAATAGAAAAACAACTAATTTCATACTGTTCAAGAATTTCCTATTTCTACCAGTCTTTTGTGTTTCCCTCTTATTTAAGCTTGGAATGGATCTTGCCCTTGTGAGAGTGATAGATTAAGGGAATATCCAGATTATATAGTGGCCTGTGTTCATTTATAGCATTCTGTCAAGTTTATGTCAGAGGCAGGTTCACATGACACGCTAAGCCATCCTGTGAATAAGCCGTCAATGTGGGTTGCTTGCAGAATAACCCAAGATGTACCTGACAGATGATTGGCTGCACCACAGCTTGTTTTCTCCTTCCTTCCCCTAGTCTTTCAACCAGTATCAATGTTCTGAGCAGGACCCCTCCCCATTCCAACTGCTCCCCTTTTTTGTTCAATATGTGTTAAAAAATATTCAGACATTCAAAATCACACCATTGAGGTTGGATTGTTTTGTTTTTATTGGTTCAGAAAATTACATAAATATGTCTATAATTTTTTTAATGGTATTTTTTTGGTCTTTCACAAGTGTGCTCTTAGGCTC